AAACTAAAACAAAGTTAAACGTCTACTATTAATAACTTGTTTATATATGATAGTATTTGTGTTAACTTACATTATTTATTGTCGCATATGGTATTAAGTCTTCCCAATCCAACATACGTTTCCTCTTCCAGGAAATAGCCCTAGGAATATCATCTGAGGATTTTAATGTATATGTCTGCATGCTGGGGAAAGCCTCGAATATCCAAATCTACAAACAATATAATAACAAACATGCGTAATTGTTAAATAATTAATTATAATTTTGAAAACATTATATAGAAATTCTTACCTTAAAGGCCCAAACAAAGCCTGACAAAGTGTATTTCGACCCATCGCCCCGCAAACTTTTGCGGTCATCAAAGGCAGACGACAACTTAGTCCAGGTAGCTTTCCATATATACGAACCCCACGGAAACAAATTCCATGCATTTAGGTCCTCTACCAATAATATTAGCTCCTGAGGAATAGGTTGTCTGGCCTCTCTGCCTAAAAAGCCGGCATACAAAAGTAGTAGAAGGCATACTCAGACAACATCGACGTCATTCATCCGAGTAAAACCATTTTTCTTATTAAACAATTTCTTCATGTCGTCGACGTGTAAGTTCGGCTTCTCTATTGACTCATCAGGAAAAACCTTGGATAACCATGAGGGGCGGGTGATATGACGAGTGTACCGGCCTACATCATCGTGTCCGAATCGTAGACCAGTGATTAAGCAGAACTCCTTCCGCCCAAAACAAGTATACGCCGGTGGAAAATGAAACCATATCTCTTCCTCACCACGTTGTATACTGTCGGTAGATCGCTAGTCATGGTCTGAAGCCACAAATGGGTCAAACTAGCATCTCCACCCGGATGCTGTACTCTCAGCCATGGCCCGAAGCAGGTTTCTTCAAACAATTTTCTTTGTGCAGGTGAAAGCTTCGAAGCAATTGTAGTGGCTAGGCTAACTTTATTCCTTAATGTCAATGAAGCCGAAAAAAATTTCTACAAAAAAACAATAAACATACCAAGTTAGATATACCAAAAATTACACTGTCAAGATATACCAAAAACAAAACAATAAACATAAATAGTAGTTTATTCTTGAAACTAAAATTTGCAACACTGTTTTTATCTTTTGGTTGAAATGAAAATCGCAACGAGATAATGAGAATCGCAACGCGGAAATGACTATCGCAACGAGAGAATCGCAACGCGAAATGACTATCGCGACCAGACAATCGCAACGCGAAATGAAAATCGCAACCGCGAAATAAAAATCGCAACGCGAAATGAAAATCGCAACGCGAAATGAAAATCGCAATGCGATTTTGGTTTCGCGTTGCGATTATCTCGTTGCGATAGTTATTTCCGCGTTGCGATTTTCATTCTCGAAACTATTCTTCTTCTGTATTACTTCAACCAAAAGACAAAGCAAAGACAAATACTAACTTCACATGCTAAACAGTTTAGCAGTATTGGCAGCAATCGAATGAATTTAATAAGAAATCTAAGTGAAATGGTTAATCTATTATTGAAATTACCAGTAAACTTATCATCAATCTCAATATGAAAAACCTAAAATAATGCAAAAATTTCAAATAAAAATAAAAAAAACTAACCCTCGGAGGTTGATTTTCCATTTCTGAATGATTGTGAGGGATTTTTTGACTGTGAATGGTTGTGAGGGATTTCGCCGGCGATGGGGACGGAAATCTTCGGAGATGGGGACGGATTTCACCGTAGAGAGTGAGAGATGGAGATGGGACTGAGTGTTGTGTTTTTGGGTTTGAGGTTATGAGTTGCGATTACTGTGGACGGTTCAGTTTCCGATTTATTAAGAAAAAATTTGTGTTTGGAATTTGAAAAAAAAAATACGCGTTAATACGAATGGCGCTATGTAAATCGCGTTGCGAAAGTCAGAATCGCGTTGCGAAAGTCAGTATCTCGTTGCGATTTTGTATTATCACATTGCGATAGTAAGTATCGCATTGCGATAGTCAGTATCGCATTGCGATTTTCCCAATTCGCGTTGCGATTTACTTATTCGCATTGCGAATTGGGAAAATCACAACGACATTGTATACCATCGCAACGCGATTTCCAACTATCGCAACGCGAAATGCAACGCGAATTTGCGATAATGGAGATCGCGTTGCGAATTAGCGATCGCATTGCGATTTTGTTGGTCATTTTGGCAAATCCGGAAAAAGTTGGTTAAAATCGTATATTATATGGGATTTTTGGTCACTGAGGTTATTTTCTCTTAAAGGAAAGTATTACAAACTTAATTATTTACGTGGATGTAAATCATTGTGCTGTTATTAGATTAATTTTTTCTTTTTGGATTTTGTTTAGTCGGTGACACCGCTAGTTTTGATTGTTGACACCGATTTTTTCTTTTTATTTCTTTTTTAGTTTTTTAATAAGAACAATTTTGTATTTGTAGCATTTTTTTTGTCTTTTTGACATGTTTTTCGTCTTCTTTTTCGATCGTTTCACCGTTCTTTTTGTTTTATGTTTTCTCAGGGTTGGATTTGAAGACTCCACAACTGATCAAGATGACGTTTATTTGTAATCTTGTTGATCTTTCCTGCTATGGATCTTTAGATTGGATATGAATACGTGATTTAACGTTTGTGGATAGTTTCTCACAACGCTCGGCTCTGATTTGCAATTCTTGGTGTTCTTTCAATAGTCTAATCTCTTTTTGTGGTTCGTGTGTCGATGCAATCAGATTTGTTTATATATTTTTTTATTAGAGTTTTTTGGTTGAGTTTTGAACATTTTCCATGTATGATCATTATATGATCTAAAATTGTTAGTTTAAATGTTATTAGAAAATGTCCATATTATGTATTTAGTTTACGATGACAGTTATAAACATTTATTTTGATCGACTAATAACTTCAAAGTTTGACACCGATTATATTTTCCCATGCAGAAAACCAAGTCAATTGCGGCTGGCTGCCTATATGTTCACTTGGTCCTTCCATTAGGATGCTTTAGTATGGTTTTAATATAAGACGAGAAACGAATGGGATAAGAGTCTTGTTTATACTAGAACGCACGTTTTTGTTTTCCCACTTAAATTCTCAATGGCCTCGAAGGTCAAACCTTGTAACCAAAATCCCCCTGGCTTATATTTTTTCCTATTTTTTTAGAGTGAGTGGTTGCTTAAACTATATTTTTTCTATCCCATTGCTCCCCCACCCAAGAAATAAGCAGAGAATACTGTTGAAGTAGCTTTAGCAACTTCTATATTTTCGCGCTACATAAACAAATTAACACCCGTTTAATCGTTGAACGGATCATGGACTGATGATCATTTTCTAATAATTAAGTTTCAGAAAGCATAATTGGTCTAACCTGAAAACAACTGCTTGGCGGAATAGAATATATTATCTTAGCTACCTGCAAACCCTACCTTCATTGAGAAAAATATGGGCTGAAATTTCCCATTGGGTAAAACTAAACTAGTTTTCATTTGAATATATGTCACGGTAGCCACCGCCTTAGACGACCAAACAATAAGATTTTATGCTTAATTTTGCAGTTAGAAACCTGAGCACGCCAGCTTGGAAGACCCGCAATTTGTAGATTTTTGTTTAATGTTAATTGGCAGTGGGTCGTTCTCGCTTACTGGGATTGCTATAGGATTACACTCAGCCTACGACCGTTCAAAGAAAACCAAGCTGTGAGAGCAATGCATTTAATTAATAACTGACCCAATTTTCTGAAAATTTCAACAATGCTGTCGGCAATTAAGATGCGCGCATTTTGCAAGCTTTAACATTGTGAGGCAGGCAGTCGACGTGTGTTTGTAAAGCACTGGTAAGTGGTAATGAAGATATATGCGGACCTGGACAATAAGAAATGCCACTTTGAAAAGCTAATTTCACATGAGTAGAGAATGTTAGTTTATGAATCAGTTCTGTTTGGTCTGTATAAAATTTAAATAATTAAGACATATGTATCATTTAAATTTGATTATAAAACATATAATTATTAATATTAAATAATATTTTAAAATAAAGAATAAATTATTTGAACTGAATGGGCTGGGCTCAGGCTATGGAAAATTTTGGGACCCAGTGTTTGATTTACTATTATGTCAAAATTGATTAGGTATCATTAATACCGCCAATCCAATCTTATCCATGTGAAACATCTGAAGTTTCGACCATGTCCCTCTCCTAAAATCTTTCATGGCAGTGGAAATTAGTCTTATGCATTTATATTTCTGGACAAGAGAACAAACTTAGAAACTATATAATTGATAATAGAGTTAAGAATGAGTAAAATTGACTATCGGATACATATATAATTTCAATTTATATTATTACTAAAAATATTATTCTTTTTATAATTTAGTTCTATTTTATTTTATTTTGTGATAAAAGTTCTAATTTTAAATTATATTAATAAAATGATATTCATTGACTCGTGATACTAATTTAATAAAAAAATAAGTTATAATAAAATTTATAAAATCCAAGCTAACGAATAAAAATTTTATTTTTTTCAAATATAAAAAAATCTATAATGATTGTTAATTTCAAGTCTTGCAAATAATTATAGAACCGTTTTAAGCGTAAGCTAGTTTTAAGCTTTTCTACGTGGTCTAGAGTCCCACAACGACTAGCGAGACAATCGAGGAGCCGAGTCTCTGTATAAAGTATATACACTTCTGCTTGTGAAAGCATGATCCTTCAGGCAGTCAACGGGATATGATGAGTGGTCATTACTCGTTAACGTTGCGAGAGGGGTGTCCGCCCCAACGCCTGGTTACGACACTTGGGCACTCCCCCCTTTACCATCTGATCCCAATCTTGAAGGAAACACCCATTTAATGGAGTACGAAATTTATTTTACCTTTCAGATTTTGAGTACAACTGGGATGTACATATAACTTAATATTTCATTAAGCAAAATCAAGCTTAATTTTATAGTTTTAGAGGACACATCACAAGTAGACGTGCATCCATGTTAAGATGCATAAAAACATAAATTTATATCTAAAACCCAAAGCAAACCATCAATGTAAGTATACAGAGCAAGGCAATACCTTGAATGCAGGCCATCTCCGTTGGAACACCATTACCAAAGGCAGCGTAATCCATTGAGCCAGCTTGGTTTGTACCCCCGAAAGGTTGGTTGGTATTAGAAAATGGCTGATTAAACCCGGAGTAAGGCTGGTTCGTAGCGGAAAACGGCGGACTGAAGCCTGTCAGAGGCTGGTTAATGCCTTGTTGTGGATAGTTAGGGTCTTGTTGCTGTTGGTAACCAAGTTGAAATTGCTTCCCATTGTTGCCAACAGGTTTGGCAAATGGAACATTGTTAATAGGAGTACCACCGGGAAGGGAACCCGACAACCGAGCATTTTTCCCTTCATTTCGAGTATCTTCCTTGTGGATTGTAGTCGTTTCTGCCTTGCCTGGTGTAGTAAGAATTGTGAAAGACACAACCACAATAAAGAAAAGGAGACATGGATTTGGGGCTTTGAACTTCTCCATCACTGTGAAAAAGACAGGGCTATTGTGAATGTTGATGCAGTGGGACTAGAATGGCTTATAAAGAGAATGGAATCGATGCGGGACTTTAAAATTGAACATGGAGCAGGTGGAACTAGGAATGTAATAGACATGGGAAAAGTAAGGTGTTGGAAGGATCACACCACATGAAAAAAAATATAGTATTTCATCATAATGTAACAGATTCAACCGTACACACACAACTTTATTTGAAAAGGTAAAACATATGCCACGTCAATTGAAGTTTGGTTTCAGCTTTTCAGGTGGCACAAGCTGAAAGGAGCATTTGAATAAAGTGGTGAGTAACCTATTAGAATATGAGAAGAGTGTTAGTGTAGTAGGCCTAACCAATTCAACACAAGTTTAGTTCAGGTTTTCATATACTAATGTATGCATCTGTGGCAATAGATTTTCTAATATTTCATACACTAATTGAAATGTCATATGTTAACTTTCCTTCAATTATATTTATTTTAAATTTTGAAGGTATATGGGTAAAGAAATTTCGCTGAAATGAATTTGTAGTTAACATTAGGTATCGTTTGGAGTATAATTTATATCATTATTCATATGTTAACTTTGTTAAACATTGTTTAGATTTTTAAATTATTTTATAGCTGATACAATGAAACAGTAAACAGAGCTAAAGAAGATGAGAGAAAGTTTCATTCATTTCCCCCCTAGTTTTCAACATTGCAGAAACAAAAACATATATATCGATTTTCATAACCAATGATAAATTGTGGGGTTTAACTTTCTAATATTCACCTATCTTCCTTTTATTAAAGAGAGAGTCACAACTTTTCTTGAACGGATCTTTTGCTTTTGGCCGAATGTTGCGAAGGTGTTGACCTGTAAAGCTTTGGTTAATGCTTCCGTAAATTGAAGTTGAACTGGTATATAATTAACTTGTAATTATTTATAAAAAATATATTTTGAATAAAATGAAGATTCAATTTTATGTGTTTAATTTAGAAGTAGAAGATCATATTGATAGCTAATGCAACTGTACATGTATTGTCACACCAAATCTTGGGAACTTCGTTGAAAACAATTTCAAAATCATCAGACTCGTATTTTAATTTAATTATACTATTTTTTACAAACCATCAGTTAAGTTACAATATTCAACTTTTGTTGATTGGATGAGAGATGACTTTTTGTTTCTAAAAACTTCAAGAAATAATGTTTGATCTAAAAAAATCTGTTAATCCAGATATTAATTCACCACCTCAATCAAACATCACAATAAGTATTAAGGGTCGCAGTTGTATTAAGAATAAAAATCAACTCATAGTAATGTAGCACTCCAAATCCGATTTTTATTCAACGTCGAGTTCACGAATACTACGGTCAATGAATTGATCTAAGAATTTACGACTTTGAAATCATGACTTACTCAAAATTTTAAAAACGTTTTATGAAAAAATACGAAAATACAGAATTTATAAAATTGAATCCCCTTTACCTTTGATTACCAGACACATAAATAAAATATTTCGAAAATGACTCGGATAATGAAAGCAAATCATAAAATCTACAAACCCATGTAAGTTATTATCCTTGTACTTTGGTACTCTCATCGAGATTCCTCTGATGATATTATTATCCCATCAAAACTCTCGAAATCTATAACTTGCAAATGAAAATAGTCTAAATGCTAAAATAACAAAACTTAGTGGTATACATCTATTATATTATATTTCATTAACGAGACAAAGTATATTTATTCAAACTTGATCGTCAGAATTTTTTATTTTATCAGTGAGTTTTTTTTTTGTGTGTAAGAAGATACTTTGTATGAATAACAAAATAACCACCTCAAAGATCTCGTTAAAAAATCTCCCTAATCCTATTTGGAGGAAAAAGAATGTACATTGGGGTGGCACAGAACAAAATCAAACCAGAGTAAACAACATCACTGGACGACAAAGCATGGGACGAACCCCAATCGAACAACTATAAAAGCAAAACAACCTCTTTGACAGACACACTAATATCGACTATGAACAATGCCAAGCAAAGAAGCATACTGGGAACCCGAACAGCAGAAAAACGAAGAAACAGGAGCATTATCCAGAAAACCAACCTTTACAAGCTCTTCGAGACCAATAGCACAGCACCATGGATCTGCATTAGCAAACACCACGAACGATTGCTTCCGGATTTCGAACAAATTCAGTCACCACTGAAATTATCAGTGAGTTTTGACAGTTACAAATATAAAGAAGTTTCAAAATAATCTTATTCTTAAAAATAAATAAACTGGAGATATATTTATTCAAATTTGATTTTTTAAAAAAATAAACGTATGTTTTTTTAATTTATAATTTATTTATCTATTTTGATAAACAAATAATCTATTAATAAGGGTAAACTACGTATTTAGTCATCCAACTATTCTCAAGGTTTTATTTTAGTATCCATTTAATTTTTTTCAAAATTATATCTAAAGTTATGTTTTGGTGACAAGCCATTAAAAATAAACAAAAATGATGATGTGATAATTTTTTATTTTTTCAATGATGATATGATATTATCTTATGGTAATACGTCAACATTATTGTTAATTTTTTAATGATAGGTGAATAAAATGAAACCAAAATATACATTTAAGTATAATAATTAAGTATCTAAAATAAATTTATAAAAAAATTGATGATTTATCATATTAACGATTGATGAATAACTCCAACAATCTACTGATTTATTTTCTTATTCTCATAATCTCATTTCTTAAGGGAAGGTTTGGTTTGGGCCTCCCTTTGAAATGTACAATTAATATTCTCACCATATTGGAAAAATAAATGAAAATGATACGACTTTAAAGTATGCTAAATTTATTTAGAAGAAAACGAGAAATTGATGATGTTTCGCAAGCTGTAACGCATTAGCGTTAATGATTAGCCACCCAGCTGTCGCTTATTTTTTTTTTTGTTGAGATTATTATAAAATAATATAGGTTTAAAAGATTATTAATGATATTATATTATAATTCAATATTTTAAAAATTAATTATTATTATTTTAATCATTAAAATCAATTGATGCTGATAGCTGTTGCATATTCTTATCTTTAAGTTTACCAATGATTTCACTCGTGCGTTTGTCCAAGAGCCAGCTTTGCTCGCTCTTACCAACCCCAGACCCCAGTCCTCGGCAGACCCCTTTCCCTACACTTTTCTTTATCCGTTACCGCTTAAGATAATCTGGCTTAATCACTTTCTTTATCCTCTTAGCACAATAAGGGTAATAAGCAGTACGTATTTGTTTATTGAATTAACTGTACTTTTATATGCAGTTAATTTAAATACATATTTTAATTATTCAAATCAATTTTATGTTTATGAATAATAACTTTTCACATTATTCGAGTCTGATTTATGGTTTGTCGATAATCTTTTAATAGTTTAATCTCATTTTGTAGTTCGTTTGTCGATGCGATCTGATATATTTGTATCTATCTTTGTTTATGTTTTCTTTGGTTAGATTTTAATCTTTCCTTGTTGTCCTCATGTGATCTTAAGTTGCTAGTTTTGTTTCAATGATTATAGGAAAATATTTAATTATGTGTTTAATTTACGATTGTGATTGTAAATTTTTATTATAATTTAAGATATTTTCTATTTTAAATAAAATTAGTGATTCATTTAAAAAAAATTAATCCAAATACATATAATGTTAAGGTTTAATGTGAAAAATAAGCAGAACTCAAATTGAATAATATATTTTGTAAACACATCAAGTGATATCAGTGGTTAAAGAAAATGTTGTTCTCTTGTGAGTCCTTGGGTTCGAACAATTACATTTGTAGAATGTATGTGTTATTAATGATTAAAAAAATTATGAACAAATATTATCTTATAATTGATCTATACTATTAAAATATAATGTATATATATATATATATATATATATATATATATGAAGATATCTCATGAAACTTTTATAGGTTTAGAAATTAAAAGATTATTTGAGTAGACTTTTTATTTAATAAAGATATATTCGTAATTCGATACATTTTAATGAGATTTTTGGGGAAAACAACCGTTGATGACAAAAAGACTGTTTTTCAATAAACCTTATTAGACAAAGCTAAGATTATCTTGTGAAGTAAGTAAAGAATTTTTCTTATTCGAAAAAAATATTTGATTAATTACTCTATAAAATAAAATCTATTATATTCAAAATGAACAAATAAGACTTGCTACTCTAACTGACACAAGTATATATATTAAAAGGTTTTAAGTGGGTGTTAAAATTTTTAATAATTTTATTGTATTATCTTCTTAATAAACATTTTAAACGTGTAATTGTTGTGAGTTTTGTAAATTGTACTTATAGTAATTGTTAAGCAAATTTTGGAAGTGAGAATTCATGTCACTTGCATTGAAATATTATAGTGGAATTCTCTTTAAATAAGACTTCAAAAATGTAAAATTGTTGATGGATTCAAACTATATAGACAAATTTTATTATGTTATTGTTTAAGTTATAATTTTTTAATGATTCAACCCATTATAACTGATTTAATATTGTTAAGTTTAAGGGTGCTAAAATTAAGCACGATGGAAATTAAGTTGAGGACAGCTCTTATAGCCAAAAAAGGACATGGAATTCATTCCAACACTTTGAAAACCGCTGAAATTCGATGGACAAGTATCAACGCTAGAGCTGTTGTTGAAAGGGGACTGATACAGCTGTGGAATTGATTAGGCCTCATAGTTAAATGGCAAACTCCACATCTTTGTCCTACTAATCTTGCCTATTATGCAATTAAATTCACGGGTTCCCATAATTCTCCAAATGGAGTTTTCATTTCTTCGTAGGGATTGTAAGCTACTCCTTTCACTTTCGTTTTGGTTGCATCGACCGATGTGATGAGAATATATATTTATTAGAAATCAAAAAAGGCTATGCTATTTACGCACAAACTTACGTTAGAGAGGATTGAGATTTATATATAAATTTATAAAATTTTAATAAAATGAATAAAAAAATATAAAAAATAAAAATTTTCAGAGATCAGTTATTCGACTTGTCTCTCTGTCTAACCTACTACTAGAAGACTCATTTCGCTTGTAAAATTTTCACTACTTTATTTCTCCTATGGTTCCAGTGGGGTTTTTCCTCCACCAGATATTCCCCGGCAAGCCAGCATTTAACATTTATTTTTTTCTGGGTTACTAGTATTACTCCTTTGCTCTTTCAACTAACAATTTTTGGGCTATAAATACGAGACAACTCATCTTGTTCTCCACACAAAACACGAGAAACCAATCACAAGTCTCTATTTCTTGTTTCAGTCATGGCTATCTCGAAGGCTTTGATTGCCTCACTTCTCGTATCTCTTCTTCTTATCCAACTTGTTTATGCTGATCAACTGGTAAATCTTCACCACTTCCTTTTTCTTTTGGTTTCCTTTCTTTCTTTCTTTTCTGTTTGAATAATTGTTAGTGAGCAGTAACCTTAATTTAAGCTACATGTTGATTGATGTGAAATACAGGCGACAAGTGCCAGCAAGGGAACCACTGCCCCAATGAAAATCGGTAAATAGGATCAATCCTCGATTGTAACCAGAAAACTAGGATGAAACCCTTTATTGACATATCGATTTGTGTTTTTTTTCCAGACTGCGGAGGGCCTTGTGCGGCAAGGTGCCGATTATCGTCGAGGCCGAACCTATGCAAGAGGGCGTGCGGGACATGTTGCTCCCGCTGCAACTGTGTTCCTTCGGGTACTGCCGGTAACCAAGAAATGTGCCCATGCTATGCTAGCTTGACCACCCACGGTGGCAGACGCAAGTGCCCTTGAGTTTTTAATCAACTTGGAACTAATATTCTCCTTTTGAGGCGAGCTTTGTGGTGAAATAAACGAATTGCATGGTGTAAAAATAAATAAAATAATGTGTCATACGTAAAGCACAACTCATTTGTTTTTTTTCCTTAACGTTTCTTTTTGGCGAACTTATATGTTTAATGACTTGTTATTTTTTGAGTTTGAATATATTATATTTTAATCAATTAATGATGAAGTTTGTAATTCTATTTGCTCCCATTTACGTGAATTTTAGTTTAAATTTTAATGCAAGTACGTGTGTTTCTAGGGCAAATGATCAACCTTGGAAAGAGAAGAGAGCCTGAAATACACCTCAAAAAGTCAATGATTGCATGCCTAATTCCTTTAATCGGATTTAAAGGATGAGTTGTAAAAGCCTAGAACTTAATTATTATATACTTAATTATTCCTCTGCCCACTGTGTGGCTCCACGAAAATTAATACTATAATGAATCTTTCTTGTCACATCAATTATGATTTTAATTAATAAAAATCATTTATTTTATTATTTTTAATCAATATTTTTTAATATTTTTCTTCTTTTTTTTTTAAAGTTACCATACAAGTTGATTGTTGACATGAAAAAAATAATAAAAGAAATAATTTCAATTGATTAGAATCATGATTGATATGATGATGAAAATTCATGATATAATTTTCAGGTGACTTTGTTTTTACCTGATCAATCTTGAAATGATACAAGTCATAAAAGAATTTTAACAATAACAACAGCGTTGATATTCTTTTTTTTCTTTGACCAGAGCTTTAATGGTGTTTGTTTATTGTATCTGTCTTCAACCAAAGTAAGTAGGGGAATGGAATTTGAGTTTTGCCTGGAATAGGAAAGATGATGTCTTTAACCATTTATTTTCAAGCAATAATCTTCTCCTTCTGTTTATCTTTGAAATATTTGACAGGAATAGGATGGACTGCAGGAGGACGGATCTGGTGTCATAAGTTATTTTAGTTACCTCGTGAGACCAACCTGGTGTTCATCCTTGACAATGATCGTAATTTGTATTCTCTCTCTTTCGTGCAGAATTATCTTTACTCTAGCTTCTCCAGCTCCCCCATTCTCTCTATGATCGCCTACAAAATGCAACAAGACTAACCTGAGTGCTACAGATTCGAAGCCATCAAACATTAGCATTGTGTCCTTGTAACAGGATAAAGAACTTTGAATAAAACAAGCAGGATAACGACGACATAGAAATATATGGCCAAAACAAAGAAGCAAGGCAATGAATTGGGAAGAAAGAGAGCTGTATTTCTAATAAGCATCGGCCACAGAACCATCAGCATGAATAATATAATTAAAGATTTAAAGGTCTAGAGAAAAATGCAAAACCTTTTGCTCGTCTCTTGAAGCTCTCCAGCAAGAATGAGTTCATCGAGTATCAGATAGACCTTGGAGAATTTCCAGCGAAATTGTAAATCACATTGCAGAATCATGACAGTCAACTTTGATGCAAACAGTGACAGTGATGCATGGGATATAAACTCAAATTTATATCAGGAATCAGAAAAGCTGACATCAATAAACCAGGTAACGCATGAACAAATCAATGCAGGCAAGGAGCAAGAACTAGCTTTCACATGCACAAGATAAAAATTGCAAAAAGCAAATTGAGAAGGCTTGAGAGCACAAACTTTCATCAACAAATATAAAGTTTTTGAAAATGGCAGCTTCATAAGAATCAGGTGGTAAATTTCAATCCAGCAGGTTAAAATAACTATCAGAGCAGCTACATACCTTGTGAAAATTAAAAACCAAGTCGTGCTCGCAAACATTACCGAAGAAATGATCCAATATCTCCACAAATAAGTGGATACTTTCCAAGTATGCCAACTCATCACCGTGATGTCAACACACAAGGAGACGAACAATCCAGCATACAGCCTGTAGATTACCTTGTGCGTACGAAACTGCAAAAAGTACATGCATAAAATCAATCAAAATTCAGCAATTAATGAAAGAAATTGGTAAATTGAGGATCTCTGTTAACCACCAATCGATGAATCTGCAAACCAAGGTATCCAGGAATCCTAACTAACAAATCGTCCAGAATTCAAAAACCATAAACAAAAAAAAGGTCAACAATCTCGAAAAATAAACAATATAAAGGGAAAATGTAATACCTCGTATTCGACCTTGTCTATATGAGTCTTGCCTTGCCTGTTTTGCAACAAAATGAATCGGATCTGCCATGATCAAGAACACAACAAAATGATGAAAAAAGATTTCAGATTTTCTAAATCAGTAATCGTAGAGGGAGAGAGAGAAAAGATTAAGGCTGCACCATTGTTGAAACCAAGGATTTCTTGTTGTCATCTTGTTTCGCACTTAACAAGATCGGGGAGGTGTCACATTATATATGCATTCTCCCTTTAGTACCAAGCTTAGATGTTATAGATATGCATATACAATGACAAAATGATTAAATATTATTTATCTTTTTCTATGTATAGGATAAAGATGTTATATATACATAATGATTCTGCTTTTTTAATACTACAACTTGGCTAAAAATTGTAAAATAACTAAGAGGGTGAATGGTTATACAAATAGAAACAAGTCGTTGATTTCACAATTATTGGCTCTACTTATACGCTACGGAGTACACAACATTACAATCCGGATTTAAATCCAACTTACAGACAGTTTTACACTTAACATACCAAAAATGCAATTGATAAAGAGATCAAATACAAAGCAATAGTTTTCCTTCCTGATACTATGACTATGAGGTGTATCTGCCTAATGATTTCGACCGTACTTGGAGTTTGTAGCAGCCAAGAGAGCAGCCCCAATCCCAGATCCATCCTTGGAATGCTCTATCACAATGTTTCGAGATGTTTCAGGTCCAAGAAGCTCTGCTACAGCCTCTTTTAAGTATCTTCTATACTGGGAGTACCGCTCATACAAACCTCCGTCCATTGCCACCACTGTTCGTTTCCCAAAGATGGCACCTTTTGTATCCTCCTCTATCTTTTGAAAGAATCCCCACTATTCCAGCACCAGCTAAGCGTCCAGCTCGCTTCACGATGGTGTCACAAACCTCTAGGACAATCTTCCTTGAATTTAGGTTGGACTCGACCTGATTGTAGCATTGGATATGATTCGAATAGTCAAAATTTGTTTTCAAGAACATAGAAGCCGAAGTTCAAACAAGTAGAGCAATGATGAAAATTTTTACCCCAGCTACATCATATAGGACTGATCCAACGGTCTGCAGATCATCCGTGGTATCCTGCTGCTTTGCAGATAAATCTGGGGTTCTACAACAATTCAAAAATAACTCAGCAAGAGGATGTTAATTAAATGTGAATGTCTGCAGAAAGTCAAAAACAAAAGAATCCACTTTTAAATTAAGAGAACAAGGGACCGAGAGGCACAGAGACTTGTCAAGCAATTTTACTTGCTCCCCAAAATTACAATCTTACTGAAGTAAATTCAACAGCTTGAAACTGAAATGGACTTTCAAATTCTAGGATTAACACTTTGAAGAAAATTTACCGTAGAACAAATGGCATGGACAGTTTTTCCGGCACGGATTTCCCAAACAGAGAACCTTCTTCAGCCATATACAGCAGAGTTCTTCGTGCAATTTCACCGAGGTACATTCCGGAGATTGTCTTCTCAAATATCTACAACATATAAACAAATATTTGCACATCAGAAAGCCTGTACTAGACTGATGGGAGTTAACATAGAAAAATTAAAACGTTGAGTTTGCCTGCTCTCCAGGATTGATACTAGCAGCATCCATATCTCTATCGAACACCGTTAATGGAAGGCCTTTTCTGAATGCTCCCCACTCAAGGTTAACAATCTGTAAATAATGGAAATATCCGTAAGACTGATTGTAATTGTGATTATTGAATAAGAACATAGGAGAGACGATTTTCACTCACCGTTCTTCCAGAGGGGGAAAAGTCACCTTGCAATTTAGGAATAGCATCCATCCGTTCTACATAGCAAGCATTTGTTCCAGTACCCAAAATGACAGCAACCATAACATCATCTTCCCAATATCTAGCTCCGGCCAAAGTTGCCACCGTATCATTTACCTACTAAAGCCTAAATTAATTAGAATGTTTCCTATATCGATTCACCTACTAAAGCTCCGGTCAAAGAATTTTCAATGATAATAACATAACAAGAGCTGAAGAACAAACTAAGGCAGACACTCTCATATCTATTCCTTTTCTATCCATAGCTTCATTCAGGCAAGCAACCACATCTTTTCCAGCCTGCATATCGATTTTAAGCATGGCAATGAATGTCAGACCATATTAATAACAGTGTTGATGCATGTTTGTGATTGATTCTTTTGTTGAATGATCTTCAAGTGAAGGTTAGAGACTCAGATGTCCTTCGGCTCCTTGAAGACAGCCATGAGCTAGGGCGGTGCCAGAACTTGTGATCCAGGACCTCCATTGTAAGAAATATTAACGGAGACAAAGAGAGAGACCCTAGCTCATGATCGTCTCACTTTCCCTGAAGATTGTTTACAAAGCCCAGCTCATCACCAAAAATGCATCAACGAACAGCATAAGAACTAGCTATGATCTTAAAGCCCCAAAAACCTAAAATGACAATACAAACCGTTCCTGAGACTGCAAAACCTTTGGTCCATTTAATCAGTATTCCAGAATCAATGGATGTCTGCTTCACCGGGAAAGAAAAAGTGAACCCAATTTCGCCTTTTCTTCCAGGGGGTAAGTTAAAGTTTCCACCTTTTTGAGCAAAATTTGCCAGAACAGAAGCAATAAAATCAAACAGTTCCTACAACATCAAAACATATATATACCACAAGAGATTTAATTAATGTTCTCAAAGAAAAGAAAATTTGCAAAAACACAAAAAGAGCAGACCTCAGAGGTAGCAGACATGAGTTCTTGTGGGATGGAAAGTTGCTCCGATTCAGTGGAAATCACGCGCTCATCTTTCCCACCTAACTGAACCTTCAATACCCGAAAGTTGGTTCCCAACAATCCTTTCTCGTTCCTTAACAACACAAATCTCCATTTTTTTAAGCTTAAATAGGAATACCAAGCTAAAAATAAAGCTTATCCTTTGAATGAACGTACCC